TCAAGTAAACAGAAGTATGCATTTTAGTCATCAGTGCATCATTATTTCAACTGAAGCTGCTGGTGATTGCTGCTGGACTACAAAACACAGATTTTATGTCTAATATTATTTATGAAATATGCAAGCTTATGAGAAACGATTTATTTAATTTCACTGTATCCACATTACATGTATCCTTGTGCGTGATTATCCTTTAACTTAAGAGCGACGAATAAAATAAATCCGCTGCAATAACAGTTCTCATGCGATTATTTTTTTCAAAATTATTGACCATCTATCGTGCTTACCATATTGTTACCAAATATAGAGTTAATTTCATGTCAATGAATGGCTGATGAACTTACGATCTCTTAACTTTTTTTGAAAGTATGGGCCACATGCAGCACCAGCGTAGCACCGCGAGGTCGCTCCGTGAAAGTTAGGCTGCTGGTGATGAGGCTCTGGGTCTGACAAATATGTTAGGTTAGGTTAGGTTAGGTTAGGTTAGGTTAGATTTTCCGACGTCCTCTACCTCACTGCACCGTTTGGGGTAAACTTGCACTCCCGATACATTTCTGCTAAGTAAGAACTCATTTATTTTGTTCTGGCTATGGATACTCTTATATCAGCCATATTAGAGGGCAATGATAAAAATTCGACCTAAGATGAAAATATGAGATTAATATTCACACGCTTCAAGCTTTGCCGCACAATCAGAGCCCCGTGAGATGATAATATTAGTTGAATCAATTTGAATAACTGACTTAACCAAACATGCTTACATTATTTGACCCACCGTCCCTTTGGCCCGCCATCTTGCCTGGCAGTTCGCGACAGGTCATCTCAGATGTCACTGCACCACCGCGCAGCACTGCACCACCGCGCAGCACTGCACCACCGCGCAGCACTGCACCACCACGCAGCACTGCACCTCCGCGCAGCACTGCACCACCGCGCAGCACTGCACCACCGCACAGCACTGCACCACCACGCAGCACTGCACCTCCGCGCAGCACTGCACCACCACGCAGCACTGCACCACTGCACCTCCGCGCAGCACTGCACCACCACGCAGCACTGCACCACCGCGCAGCACTGCACCACCGCGCAGCACTGCACCACCGCGCAGCACTGCACCACCGCGCAGCACTGCACCACCGCGCAGTGCCCCACCGCGCAGCACTGCACCTCCGCGCAGCACTGCACCACCGCGCAGCACTGCCCCACCGCGCAGCACTGCACCACCACGCAGCACTGCACCACCGCGCAGCACTGCCCCACCGCGCAGCACTGCACCTCCGCGCAGCACTGCACCACCGCGCAGCACTGCACCACCGCGCAGCACTGCACCACCGCGCAGCACTTCACCACCGCGCAGCACAACATGCCGAAATGATGGAAATCTTTTGGGCGTCTCATTACAGTATTTAAATTCATGAGTGGAAACGATGCATAGTTTTCACTTAATAATGTTTTAGCCTTTTATGTTGATCATTATCGCTGAAATTGCAGAAAAATTATAATATACTGTAACTCTGTTTTACATCAAAAATGACTTTCTATACGAGACAACAAGGGAACGCTACGAATCTTCACCATCAGCACTTAATATCATTTTCGATTAATGCTTGCTACTAAGGTTTCACAGATCCATCCAGATCACAATGTTTTGCCTCCAAGATTTATACATATTTTGACTGGAAAATGCAATTTGTTGCGAATTAAACACTTGTTGATACATTATGATTAATTCAATCCCGTTTACTCTCAAAATGACACCAAATGAAATTTTGTATTACAAGTTTTGTGAATTTTCACCAGTTTATTTATTTATTATTTATATACCTATTGTGTGTTTTACCTGTTATTTATATTTACCTTTTAATTAATATTTATTATTTATTTTATAAAATCAAAACATAATTTATTGTTTGGTTTGCTCGTAAATCGCGGAGTCTAAAATTAACTTTCTTGGAACGCGTGCTGAGCAGTCTTGTTACAATCAAGTCAAAAATGTCCCGTAACTCTTTCATCGGAAAAGAAAAATACATTTAAAGGTAATTAATAATACTGCAGATAAATAAAAACAACTATTTACTAGTCTCCGTTACGTTTCAGTTCAGATTACAGTTGCAGCGGATCGCTCAGTGAGCAATGGCACGCATGAGTGGTTTGGTGCCTTGGCTTGGGTTCCAAGAAGAGCGCCTAATAAATGGAAGACGTCATGAGACCGCACGTCTTATGCAAGTCTAGCATCCCTGGCGCGCTCATAATGCAGAATTGTGCCGAATTATGCCAGGCTTTAGAAACCTGCTGACTTGCGCCAAGTGAATTGCGCGGGTCTACGACAGATCCTGCCGCCTGCATTTCAGGATACACGGTCCTGAGGTTAACAGGAGCAAGAAGGATTGAGGGGATTAATGAAGTCCTGTGCAATGTGGAAAGTTCTGATGGAAAGGAACGCGTGGGATGCAACAGCTCTCCTGACGCGTGCATTTTAGACAGATTGGATGAACGCAGCGGTGGTCCCGAAATGAAGGCATTTCTGACTTGCAAACTGGCTTTATCAAGAGCGCTACGTGGGAAATTTTCTGGAGACTCTGGTCGACCACATTCTGCACCGCCAATCAGAATGGAGAAGATGAATTGACTCTACTTCTCTTTGATTAATGAGATGCTTTTTATGCATCTATTTTATACATGGCCATTAAGGGGACCGTCTACCCTAAATTTTCAAATTTTGGCGTTTTCCGGTTTTTGTGCTCATCAGCTTACTTTCTGACGCGTCGAACGGTATCAGAACCATATCTCTACCTGCATTTTGACGTGCAAGACGCGTCGCAGAATGGAGGGCGGTGGGGGGCAGCCTTCACTATTTGAATGGGAGATAATTCAATAGAAGCTCTAAAAATATCGCGTATAGCGGCCAACAGACTCAGTGCCCATCAAGACAGCGAGGTGGGAGGTGTACTGCCAGTCGCTCTATGCCTCGTTGACTTGGTTTGAGGCTTAATTACGGTATCTAGGCTACGTTACGACTCTTTTACGTCCGTTTACGTCCCACGCGGCCGTTTTTTGAGCGTGTTGTAAACCTCCTACTGCTCTCACGGAAAACCTATCGCCTCCTAGAGTTTAAAGCTACAGCAATGAGACATATACCATTCGATTTGTAAAGACCATACCTGTCGACCAACCCATCACTTTTTTAATTTGTGCATGGTTCGTCATATATATGGGGGAGAAGGGGGGGGGGCAGGGAAAAATGGAAAAATGGGAAAAACGCGCATAAAAAAACTATGGGGAAAATGAAGAAAGTGATGGGTTGGTCGATAGGTATGGTCTTTACGAATCTAATGATACGTGTCTCGATGTTGTAGGACGATATATGTAGGAGGAGATAGATTTTCTAAAGTACCCGTTTTTGGCCGTTTTCTATGAATTTCACGTTTTCTATCAATTTTTTCGAAAAATTCATAGGAGCAAAATGTTCTTTTTTTTACATTTACGTATGTATGTGAAGTTTGATGATGATCGGATAATAACTGTAGAAGTTTTTCCGGAGGGTAGACGGTCCCCTTAAAAATCCGTTTTTAATTGGAAACGAGGAAATTAATTTGGAATTTTATCAAATGGCACATGAGCTCAAAAATATTACATTTTATTTTCACGGGAGAACATTCTTCTTTGGGAATATGATTTTAGATTATTTTAGATTTAATATTTTACATTTATTACATATTAGATGTAATATATTTTAAAGTTAAAGATGATTTAAACCCCAAAAAACTGTTAGAAACATGCATTAAAAAATGTTGCAGATAATGCTGCGTGGGCAGTATTAAATGCGCGTAATAAAGTTATGCATACATTCCTGGCTTAAAAGAATACTGAACTATAATCACGGATCGCGGCAGTTGACACACCAATTATTAAAATATATTCAATCTCGTTTTGCTTCACAAATTTGCACATGGACCTAAGCAAACGAAAGCTTAATCCAAAGAGTCGGTTTGAAAATTCAATCAGTCGACGCTGCATCGCAAATTAATCCAGCTGGGCTGTACAGAGAGAGGACGAAGAAGGAGGGTTTATGAAACCGGAATGGATTCGAGGTGCGATTGTTTATATATAGCGGTTCCTCATGAGTCATTTGATGGGCTTTTTAGTGCTTCTCGGTTTTAAGATAAAACTGTACTCTCAGATGAACATTAAATTTTATTAGAGTCACTAGGCGTGGTCTATACATTCTTCAAGCAAACATGTTACTACTTCAGTCTCACTTTTCATTTCCAATTAAGTTAAGTTCTAGTAAATCCATTCCTTCATATTGAAAGTATAATTTCTATGAAGTATTTCAAAAAGCTCCTAAAAAATTAATGCGCAAATGCGTCCCTATATCGTAGATCCTTAATGCATGCACGCTTTAAAGTAAATAGTGCTAAAATATATATCCAAGAGTATTATGTTGCGAAACATAAGCAATTGTTTCGTATTACGATCTTCAAAATCCTTCAAAATAATATGCGAGGTTTACTGCCATTCTATGCGCCACAAAACCTGGAGCCTGACCTCGCAGACTTCTGCAATGGAGGCACTGCAGTGAGTTGGCAGAGTGAAGGCAGTGCAGTGAGTTGGCAGAGTGAAGGCACTGCAGCAAGAATACCACAGCTCCGCACCACCATCGTCCCAGACGACGTCGTGAGAATGCATTACTGAGAGGACATTGCCCAAGCCTCCGGGCCCTCAGAATACGCTATTGAAATCTCCGCGTGAAATAGGATTTAGTTCGTTGGAGCGATCGAGATGGGTATTGAATGCCATTGTGATCCCGAAGCGGACGCGGGAGAAGCGCTATTCACAGACGTTGCTTAAGCCTGCAAGATGAAATATTTTGTCGGGATTTATGAATCGTTGAGATACTTAAGCACTTCTCTGAAGCAAGCAATTAATTTTAATCGTCTGTGTTCTAGTTAATATTGATGACATGACGCTGGCTCAATCTTACCATATTTATTTTTTTATTAATCTTCAGACCCTGGACAAAGTATCGAATATCAAGTTATGTCATGTCTGCGATTATAAAATTTCATTCAATTTTTGTCTGTAATGTGCAAAGGTACATAGACACTAATAGATCTATCTTTTCGATCTTACAGGACATGCAATAATAAGTGTAAGTGTCGGAGAAAATTCGACATAATAGATAATCGAACAACGACCTCGAGCAACGACAACGATCAACGAACTTTAGATATTGAGACTCAAGCAGCCTGATACCGCACGTTGAGCCGCGGCAAGTCCCATGTTAACAATTAACTAGCAGAAACCTGCCTGGGATCAACATGCTTAGGCTCACATTCAGAGGAGCTGCCATCGGGCTAATGGCAGCGCTGTGCTGCATCGCCTTCACTGCTTCACATCCCCGTCACGTAAGCGCATTACCGCTCATCAATTGCTTGTCAATAGCCATAATTTGCGGGGATTGATCTTGGAATCTGAATGCAGGTTTGGTCATCTCATCATGGGATCATTGTTATGAGATCCAGGGATCTCTGATTACGAACTACGAAGTTTTTTAAACTGATCGTAATCTTGCAGATTTCATTTCGTTCATAAGATGCTCTTGTTACTGGAACAAAACTAAGATTGTCATCAATCGCTGAAACCTTCACCGCGCTCGAGAAAAGTGCAATAATTCATGGAGACGTTCAAACTTCCTTGTGGAGGGCATTCACAAAAATGTACTCGTTTATTTTTAATGTCCGATTTGGTATCATTCATACAGGAGAGATATGAAGATTGAAATATCATCAGCCCCACATGATGGTGCCATTTGATCAGATAATTCAACTGGGAGATTTTCGCTCTTCAATGAAGGACCTTCCAAGCATCAGAGCGAATAAATAAACAAGGGTTTTCAATGCAATGGCCTTCCGAATTTTCTAGCCGCCGAAAATGCCATGTAATTTTATATACATTATCTTACTCATCCTCATCAATTACTTTTTACTCACTCTCATTACTCTATTTCATACTCGTTACATTTTCAGTAACTATAACATGTATTTGAATTCCAGTTCTTGGGATCACACCCGCCGTACTCATTACTCACTTAGAAAATAACTCAATTACAACAGTAACTTGTAACGGCATTCCAGTTCTCGGGACCACACTCACCGTACGGGTTCGCAGCGGACGCGGCGGCGGTGGTGGGGGCAGATCAGAGTTCCTTCAGCTGCGCAGAGCTGCAGTACGGCTATTACGCCGACCAGGCGCTCGACTGTAAAGTCTTCCACATCTGCATGCCCAACACGGCACCTTCGGGACGACAACGAGAACCTTATAGATTCAGGTAAGTTTGGGAAGTAATTGTGCTGCTGTGAATAACAATATTGACGACTACAAGGTAATAAGGAATCGATTTACTTATTTTCATTACCCGAGTACTACTATTTAGAAAATACAAATCAAGTCACATTGTGGCATTAACAGTATATATGAAAATTTTGATGGTAGAATATTAATTTCAATGAGTTTCATGTTTGATTATATTTCGTATTGTTTTATATTTTAAGGGATAAAATCCCAATTAACAGTGCCAGTAATTCTGCTGATGTAGTTAACAACAATAACAAAATATTTTGATCGCATATATATCTAAACACAATTTTCCCTGAAAAGATGAGTCTGAATAACCAATTCGAAATGTTCCAGTTTCTTCTGCCCGAACCAAACACGCTTCAGTCAAGACTCGAGAACTTGCATCGCGCAAGACCGAGCCTTCCCTTGCCACTCGGCACACCTGCTGTATGGCCTCAACAGCGTCTTCGGTCAGGCGCAACAAGAGGCAGCCAACAAACAACTAATAGCAAACTCTTCATTTTCTCCTCGCGCTACAGGGGCTTCAAGTATCCAAAAATCTAGAAACTCAAACCCAAGATCAACTTCATTACAAACGAATACACTGCCGAGAGTTCCAGCTCTACAATCCCTACCACTTACTGATTCACTAGACGTATCTAAAAATTCAGAATTCACTGACACAGGCATCACTCAGTCAAGATCATCGGAAGACGTCAGTGGTATTGATGATTCAGCTCCGTCCTTCATAGATTCAAAACTAGACGCTGACGAAGGTTTCACTCTCTCTTCCAAGCTTCCAAAAAATAGCGGTAATGCCCAACTAAGCAGACAACGACAAGATATTAATCCTCGTTCAAACAATTCACCTCTTGAACAAAGTCCAAGTCTGCCGTCAAGTCTGAGCGATGTACATCTTTTGAATGGTTCCTCCAAGACACGTGCACAGTCGGCGGGAGTTCAGGAAAATATTCAGAGCATCCCTCGTGGAAGGAAAGTATCGGCAGGTACTCAGCCAATTCTGGTGTCTCAAAATTCATTACCAGAAATTTCTGAAGAGCCAATACCTGAACCGGAATCAGAACCAGAACCTAAACCAGAACCAAAACCAACTGCTTCGTCTGGACTGGTTAAGTCCTCAAAGAGCTCAACCGTTTTGTCTGAGCCTGTGCAACGAAGTGAAAGTCAAACTCCCTCACTCTACAGTCAAACTTCAATCCAATCACGCTCGCAACTTAGTCAAATTCCTTCTAGTCTTGCCCCTCCCAATGACGCGAATGCAAATCCTTCAGTGGTTGTTGAACCCAGTACACCTTTATCTGCTACAGGGGAAGTTCCTTCCGACATACTAAGCCAGCATTCTAACAACAAGCTCGGGATTAAGGCTACCAACGCCAATTTCGAAACTAATGCTGCTCTTCTGTCTTCAAGAGCACAAGCTCCAAAGTTGGCATTGAATCTACGACAGCCGGCGGCTAAGAATCAGTCAAATTCTGAAAATAATGATGTCGGTACAAATCAATTATCACCGATAGAAGAAGTCATTCCTAGTGATAAGACTGTCTTTGTTAATCCAAGAAAAAGAGGAGGGAACTTGAGTTCAGCTAAACCTCAGCTAGCATTAGCCGGAGCAGCAGTCCTTCCACAAAGTCCAAAAAAAATATCATTCGCGTCTTTACAGAACCTTGATCCTCCAAATGCCTTGGGAAATTCTGAAGCTGAAGTGCCGTCATCAGGATCAGACCGCGACGCGTATCTCTCTCAAAACAACTTGTCTACAAACAGAGCTCGAAATCTTTCGTTCCGCGTGTCAGATGGTTCCCAGCGGACATCAAACGATGAAGGAAAAATTGGCATTAATGTAGCCACTTTCGGTGCCTGGAAGGAACCTATGTCCTCTCTCCCTCCTCCTCCTCTTTTCCAAAATCAGCATGGAAAAATTGAAGTATTTGAAGCGCAAAAACCCAATTTGAATAATGAGGAACCGATCAAATTGACGGAAATAAGTTCTTCTGAAGTTTCACTTTCGATTGGTAACGAAGCTAAGCTATACAATCCTGATAGCGGTTTAACGACTGCCAAAAAAATTAATCAAGCTCAAGGGTCATCTGGGAAGATTCCAGGATTTTCACCTGGAATTCGAAGGGTCAAAGGAAGAGTTATTGAAGGTTCTTCAGCCATAGAAGGTGTTAAAAGTACATCACGGTCAGTCCACAATTCCGAGGGCACAAGAAAAAATCGGCCCACGCTCAATGTTGGTCATTTTGATGAGAATAAATTTCATGCAGCAGCACCAACTATTCCACTAAAAGACGAGCGCAACGGAGGTAATAATAGAGGCCCAGAGCAAGTCATAAAAACACAACCAGAAAGGACAGCAGTGAAAAATAACGTTCAACTGATTCCTTCTCAAAAAATACAGTCCACTTTGGAGGTGCAGTTGCCCCCAAATCCTGTAACGCAGTCCCCAAAATCTGGTCAAACTCCCAATAGTAACCGCGGTAGGAGCCGTAGCAGAGGGCGAGTTCAACTTGTTCAAAACAACATTGATTTAAAGGCAAGAGAAATAGTTACCACGAAGCCGGCGTCACGTGATTTGAGGGAAAACATTAATCCCAACGCATTAGTGTCCAGCATTGAAATTATGCGATTTCCTCCATCGAAAGGACATGTAGTAAAATCATCACATGACTTGGAAATATTGCTGGATGATGATCTGGATGCGGCGACTGCAAGTTTGCTTGCCGGAATTCAGCCACCTAGAAAGCCTCGCCAAAAGAAAGATTCCTCATCAGTTGAAGCATCTACAGATGTTAGAAATAACGCCAGCAAGATCATCGAGACTGAATTCGGGCTGAGCTTGAACACAGTAACCCCACAAGTTGAGAGAACTAAATTTTTCAACACACAGCAACAGATTCCTGCACGTCGAACGGCTGCTCCTAACTCGAATCATTTAGGGACTGTAGGCTCAGTAAATACGACCAAAAGAAATGGTCAAGTGAATCCAGATTTACTTCCAACCACCACCACCACCACGACAACCACTCCAAAACCGAGGACCACTCGCCTGCCCCGTACCACGACAGAAGGTTATGTATCCACCAGACGGCCAGTAAATGATAAGCGTGGATCTGTCAAATTCACACCATCGCCGTATCTTGACTTGTCTTGGTTAGGCCCTTCTATTAGAGATCAAATAACGAATCATCTCACTAGGGGAATCAGTGGGAAAAGGAAGACTAGCATAAATGATATCAATGGTAATGCAGAGACAAATAAAAAATCCCTAACAGGGAAACAGGGCGATGCTCACCACACAAGAAACTCGAGAACATTTGCCGCTATAAATACCAATGTAGCTACAACGACCGTCGCAACGGAGCAGAAAAAAGAATTGCTGTCATCGAATCATTTGACAGAATCTCGAACAATTGACGAGCTAAGCTCATTTGGACAAAATATCCTCATCCCAGAAGGTATAAACCAATCGAGCAGACGTCGGGTACGAAACCATAGAGTGAAGCTCCGAGTGAATCCGGTCGACTTATCTGACGACAAACAGCAGAACGACATTTCTTCATCAATTATAGACTCAATCAAAGAAATTGATCACAAAGAAAATAATTTTGACCAAGTGCATGATGATGGGTCAATTTCATCTTCTAGTTCCGCACGCAATGTTCAGCTTCAAAAAGATCGTGTCGTATCGAGTGATGCGGAGTCCAAGTTGACTAATTTGACTCCTACTTCAGCAAATGAAACGCAAACGCCTAAGACTCTCATAAGTTACGTCCAGGAAGAAGATGTTTTGTATGGAAATTCTGGGTCGTCTTTGAAAGAAACACAAAAGGATCGAATGAACATTTCATCCACGCTCAATACCGCCTCAGTTGATAACCAGCCTGAGATCGCGTCAAGTGGCAAGGAGGTAGAGCCGGTCGTAGCCACAAATGCACATACATTGGTCTCAAGTAACGGCCATGAAGACACACCAGAAAAGCCAGACTATGTGATAACTGTTGCACCAACTCCAACTACAACTGTTCAACCTACTAAGGAAACAACCGCTAGAATCGTAAATAGTATCGCTCCCTTTCCGACAGAAATAAGAGGTCACGAAACAGCATTGCCGCCTCAAGCCCAGAACAAAGCCAGAAGGAAAGTGGTAAAATTAAACAGGCGACCTCTGCCAGTATCGAATGACTACGAGTTATCTGAAGAACCCATTGTCACTGAACCAAGTGCTCGTTCTGTAACAGAAAGAACAGCAAGAACTCGGAACAATGTATCAGTACCACAAAATGAGTTAAAATTAAACCTTGACTTTGAAAATAACACTTCAGACTACCAAGCGGTAACTGCAAGAAAACGCATTAGGCAGAGGAGACCGGTGACCTCACTTGCGAAATTGGATAACTCATCCGGAACAAAAGAAGGAGTCAATACTACATTACCAGCCAAAGATGTTCCTTCCCCGCGGGTATCTCGAGGCCGTGGACGAGTTTTTGCTTTGGTACCAGGGACCGCGTCCACCCAAAATAATTCCATACATGAGGTAGAGGGAAAATCAAAAGAGTCAATAACTTCAATAAAAACAACGAATATTACTACACAGCATCACAAAACTCAACCAGAAATACCAGTAAAAGAATCGATCTCTACTCTGACACCTATCCAAGAGTCGAGTCAGCTGCAACGTGGTAATACCTCATTGAGTCCTGAAGATGGTTCTCAAGGCTCACAACTCAGCGATGAGTCCCAATACTCAACCACTCAACGTTCCCTACGCAACGATGAGTCCAAATACTCAACCACTCAGCGCTCCCAACTAAGAGATGAGTCCCATTACTCAACTACTCAGCGCTCCCAACTCAGCGATGAGTCCCAATACTCAACCACTCAACGTTCCCTACGCAACGATGAGTCCAAATACTCAACCACTCAAAACTTCCAACTAAGAGATGAATCCCAATACTCAACCACTCAGCGCTCCCAACTAAGAGATGAGTCCCATCACTCAACTACTCAGCGCTCCCAACTCAGAGATGAGTCCCAATACTCAACCACTCAAAGCTCAATAAGGATAAAATCTCGGCGCATTTCTACCCGGAGACGTTTGATATCTGATGCTCCTTTGATATCTCTTGACAGTGATGATAATAAATTGCACGCGGAAACCATCACCACTCCAAAATTAGTCTCACAAAGAGTGAGACCTACGACAAGTCAGCCCCAAGTTGATCATACGAATGCTTCTCATTTTTCAACCACTGAACCGGAAAAATCATTTCCAAATTCTGAAGTACCCACGAAGCATAGCAAATCAAGAAACAGAAGTCAAATTTCATCGCCTGATTCATTGAATTTGTTACCAGAAGCTTCCGTGGCAAATAAATCAAACGATCGATCCAACGTAATACCAGAGTCCTTCTCGAGCACCCAACAGAGAACGAGGGAGTCTAATAAGCAGCAGGAGACGTATTCAACAAGCTCATCCAAAGCCACAACCACTGCATCTGAGGAATCCTCTTCAACGACTGAATTAATCAACATACCGAAACGATTAAGGACCAGGACTAGGGGTCAAGTTGCACCGAACCTCTCTACCATAACATCAGACAAAACTGAGAAGGACCAAAATTCAACGATCCCGTCAACACCTCCTCAGGTCCCAGCTCCTACTTATCCTGTGAGACGAACTTCTCGAAGACGCTTGATAACGACCAAAGTTGCAGCGGGTCAAAATGCTTCTGAAGTTAATCAAACCGAAGCTCGTAATAAGGTTGAACCCGGAAATTACCAACATGTGTTTGAAAAACAATCTGCGACTGACGAAAAAATTCTTCTGAAGCAAGAAAGGACACACGTGAAGGACGGTGGAGAGGAAAACCTTCGAGACAATGAAACGTTTTCATCTGTAACTACTTCCACAGAAAAAATTTCGACCACAACTTCTATAAATTTCTCAGACTTATTCAAAAATATGAAAAACACGTCGGGTGATGATTTAGACGATGAAATTCAAACAATCTCTGAATCGCAGAATACTCGAAGAACTGCTGTAAGACGACGAATAATTAATGAACTCTCAGGAACTCCATGGGACAAAACAAGGGAAGAAGAAAATGCAGCAGTTAAACCAAATGTGAGTTCCCCAAGTTCACGTTTGTCTATTAGAGTCGGCGAAGACATTCCGCAAGTTCATACAGATGATGTAACTAAACAGAACGTCGGCCATCAAGACGCGTACGTAGCCAATCAAATAAATAATCGTGAAAAGGAAGACCAAAATTCAATTCAAGTCCACTCGAACAAAGCTAACACTGAAATTTCAAACCCAGATTCAGAGAAAACTATTTTACAAGATTCAATTCCATCCACTCATTCTTCAATAATTAATGTACGAGCACAGAAAAGGCGTTTGATTAAGAAAGTAAAATTGGCATCAGCCGAAGTCCCAAGAAACTCTTTGGATTCGGTAGTCGAAACTCTTCGATCAGCGACATCGAACTCAACTATCATGAGTAATGAGCTCAATATTCCAGGACTTAAACCAGGAGCACAATTGAGAATAGTCGGCACAAGCGTCAAGAAAAGTGTTTCCACGAGCTCTTCTTCCAAGTTCAACGAAAATAATGACTTGCCGAAAAATGTGAAAAACTTGAGCCTCCCTACGGGACCTGAAGAAACAGGAAGTCCACGCAAATTAACTTCGAGGAAACGCATTAATCGGAAAATCGCAGTGGATCACGATTTGGATGCGTCTCAGGCCTCAGAATCGCGCTTACTTAAAACAACAATAATTCGACGAAAACTTGGGGAGCGAAGCTAACGACTGCGCTAAAGAAGCGAAAAATTGACCTCCTGTGCATACGTATAAAGAACTCAAATTGTTGGAGACTGCCCCTAATTATCTATAAATAATCGAGCTTTTTCTTTTGTAGATAAGGTACTTTTTTCTCTGTAAATAATGTTCTTTAATTGTGTGAATATCTGTGGATATAGAAATATTCATTAATTTACAGCGTGGCTCGCACGTAATTCAGAGTTTCTTCCGAATGCTATTTGCCTTTTTCAGTATTGTAACATTTAGCCGTTGAAAACAACTCGTGTTCGCAGTTTTCTTTGCTTTAAACAAGAAAATGAATGAATTCAAAGTTTTTCTAGTGCCAATCGAAGAAAAAATTCTAAAAATACCGCTGATGCCCCTAATATTCACACTGCCTGCTTAGGCAATACACTTTTTGCATGAAAATATTCACTTCGAGCTTCCAAGTTTAAGCAAGTTTTCCTTCTGGTCAACTTCTGAAGCTGGCGCATCGGTAAGACCAACTGTTAATATTTTCCACGCTTTAAATTAAAAATCTTAAGGAGTCTAAATCCCATTGAACTGAGCCACTCTCAATCAAAGACTGCCATACTTGAAATCTGAATGTTTTTTCCCGATGAGAAAGCTAGCCTCCGCAATATTTTTTAAAATAAGTTCTTGAATAACTTCAACATAGGTAAATTTTCCTTTATCACCATAATGTTATTCTGGTTTACATAAATATTAGATTTCTATTCCTTGACACTAAATTCAGTTTCGTCAGTTGTGATTGAATTAAATACGCTTATTTTTTAAATCAGCTTATTTTATTTCCATTGAAATGCGACAACGCGACGAGAAAATTGAATGATATGCATAGAATTTTCTTTGAATATATTTCATTTTTCCGGGCCCATTCACTCACATGGGACATATTTTCATGTCTGCTGCGGGGCGGCAGCAGAGAATTTTTTATTTTAATTAAATGATGATAATTCACTTCAGTGTAACATTAATTGAAACTAACAAAATCCTCAGTATTTAATTACCGACAACTCGTGCTATTATTTGTAATCAAAATATCAATTGGTTGTTCCATTGCGATTATGAATACTTCGTCAAATTATTAAATAGCTTTTGAGTTAAATTCACCAGTTAATGGTTAAAATTTTTTATATACAGCGAATGCATCATTGACGGTCGCCTTCAGAACTGTACCAGTAGCGGAGGGAAAGATCTTCATAATAGTTCATACTGATGAAGACAACAATTCACTCTGAGCTGCGATAGCCTAACTGTCAAATCAACAGCGTTCATCTAAAAGTGCTACGACAGTTGAAATTCTGATCGATATGGCTTCGTAGGTTTGAAATTTCAAGCTTCGAAACATTTAAATCCAGGAGTAACACAATTCTCGCCTAACATTTTTTGAGAACAAACAATACAATCAAAAAACCCAATGGAGCTGCGTGACTTGGAATCGAACATATCAGTTTACTAGCGCCATTTCTAGGACGACCATTACGGTGGCTTGATGTATTTGTCGGAGTTCCGATCGTTGAGAAAGTGCTCGAGTTTTTGTGGCGCTACGTGGCCAGAATAACAATAAGCTGACGACCTTGCAGACGAGACTTACCGTAGAGAAAACCCCTTGGAACAAGAAGCATTTTGTGTGTAGCAATTTCAGCACCAAAGACGCAGCGGCAAAAAATACGGCAGAAAAGAAAGCAATTAAATAATGGCTTGTTCGAAATTCGCAGCGGGCGCTGTGAAAGTGAAGGTCGTATTATTTAACTTCGAAGGGATGGAAAAGTTTTTTAAGCGGCGCTCTAAAAATTGCGACCATTGATAAAAGAATAGAATACCGCCCCTTAAAATAACATGCAATAGTGTTTGCAACTTTTGACTTTCATTTTGAGTTGTGGAATATACGTATATTTCTATAAATAAATCTTATTACTTCGAACAAAATTAAACTTGTTTTCCAGCCTTGGTATTTCCCATTTCAAAATATAACGGACGAAGGATGTTTTAGGTATCAAATTAAAATTAATCACAATAATACACCTAATCAGGCTAAATGCGAAAAACATTTTATTTTTTATTCAATTAAATTCATTAAATACCATAAAATGAAGAGATTCCGTTCATACAAATCCAAAGGATGCAGTTAATCACACAATCTACTTGAGCGTTTAAATTGAAGCCCTCATTTAAATTTACCTTCTTCTCCAGCCTAATTCGTATGGTCAAAGTATCGATGAACATTTTTCAAAATCAAACATGAATTTGAGATATGGTTAATTCAACAGTGTTTCCTCGCATTTTCGTCAATGCATTTTGAAACGCTTAAAAATACGATTTTGAAATGAAATTAGATTGAAGATAACGCCAAAGGAAGGCAGTGAAATACAATACAATCAGATATTTTATATAACCAAGAAAAAGTAAGAATAATCTCGTAATGAAAACCTTTGCCAATAAATACATCGTCAATATTAATAGAAACAAAATATGTTTACACCTATTCTTGCAGTTCGGGATTGATCTGTAATCATGTGAAAGAGATGGAAATGACAAATTTGCACATGGAAATGATTTAGGCAAATTATTAATGTTGAACAGCAGAAATTGAAGCTAACATAAAGAAAACATGTTTCAGCCATGAGCACTCATCAAACACAAAAAAGAAGAAAAAGAAAGATGCAGATGAAATTAACGTAAAACACAAGTCATTTTGTTTAATTAATTTCAGTTCATTCAAACTTTTTTCGCCTACTATTATAAGCCTCTTAAGAGAACCGTTTTCAACATTGAGGCATTTAAAGAATTCACTTGATCACAACATTGCAAATACGAATATTTATTAAAATTAACTGAATCAACCCTCATTTCCACAAAAAACAATTCTTCAATTATTTCATGACAGATACTGAATACAATAATAGCCTGCACTATACTGCATAAATAACTGCCGGCAGGATACCGAATACTGGATAAATAATTGTTTACATACGTAACACTAAAAGACTTTTCAGAATTGTCCTCACGCTGAAGTAAACGTGTAATTTAATGGCATGTAAAACGCGCAAGGTAATGGCAAATAAAAACCGTAAGTTAATGGCATGTATTACGCGTAAGTTAATGGCATGTATTACGCGTAAGTTAATGGCATGTATTACGCGTAAGTTAATGGCAAATAAAAACCGTAAGTTGATGGCATGTATTACACGTAAGTTAACGGCTTGTAAAACGCGTAAGTTAATGGCATGTATAACGTGTAAATTAATGGCATGTATAACGTGTAAATTAATGGCATGTATAACGTGTAAGTTAATGGCATGTATAAGGCGTAAGTTAATGGCATGTATAAGGCGTAAGTTAATGGCATGTATAAGGCGTAAGTTAATGGCATGTATAACGCGTAAGTTAATGGCATGTATAACGCGTAAGTTCATGGCATGTATAACGCGTAAGTTCATGGCATGTATAACGCGTAAGTTCATGGCATGTATAACGCGTAAGTTCATGGCATGTATAACTAGCAGAGAAGAGAAATTGATTTTTTTCTAATATTTCTTCAATGTGTTGTATTGTAGAGGATGGAGATTTTATTAATTGCTCTATTTTTAGTAACCGATAGCTAAACGGATGAGAAATGCTGCAGGAATAATAAAGAAAATAATAAGATTGCAATTAACCTAACCTAACCTAAGAAATGAATGCATATCTAATTCAGGGTCTTGGATTACTTTACTTGGATTACTTTACAACAAAATTATAAATACAATGAAATATTGTATTTCCTGGTCTAGTAACTTTCTTATTACAACAATGATCTCCCGAAACTACATTTTTATTATAGTACATTGGAGAGATGGAGTACAAAATGTAATTCTCCAGACTCCTCACATCTTTTATGCACATTCATCGCCATCGAGTTTCTTTCTCTGGCTGCATGAAAGACAAAAACTTATGAGAAAGTTTCCCATGCAATACTCATTATGAAATTATCTTTAATACCATAAATTTTTTCAGTCAGAGATGACTAATTACTAACACCAGTCCTGAGCGAGCAATTATGAACAAGCTTCTGCCATTTTTGCTGGACTTGCGTCTGTGAATTGACGTTGCAGCCAGCAATTTTCCAATTAGCCGCCATGTTTTATCGGAGTGCATCAAATTTGCAGACCGTTCACTGATCATAGTTTTCCGATGGGGAAATTTGGCACCAATCCGATGGGGAATTTGGCATTTGTTTGAAGTTAATAAGACAGTCAATTGATCAAGTGTTTATTTTGAGCAGGATTAATTCTATTTAATTAGAGACTGGAATAACCTGGAGTCATATCTCGATCAGATCGCTTAATTGTTAGACACGAACAAAAATATTCATATTCTCGATAGATATTTTTGTAACTTATCCAAACCGTAGCTGATCGTTACGTTGCAATCCTCTCGCCTATCATCATTTCATAGGAGATCGCTGTTAAAATCAGCTACGACCACAAGTAATTTCTCAATCTTCAGGGCAGTTTAAGTCTGAATTATACGCCATTTTTAATTCTAATTACTTGTATTCTAATAACTAGTTACGGCGGGTGAGTATAGTTTCATATTTTCAGTAATATGTGTAAATTACTCTACATATATTTGTGTCGTGCTTATAAGAATAGCATTCTTCTTACTGATTTACTTGCTGAGTTACTAGACATTTATCATGCCGAAGGATTAGAAGCTCCAGCACCGCCTAGGATTGCTACGTCCAAAACACACACTAAGGATACTAAGGACTTAATATTTAGTACATTAAAAAGTATTTTGTATTTAGGCATGGGCTCTACATTGTTTTTGTACGTTATTGTTTTTTTTTCTTTTCTCATTGTTTCCTGCAATTTTTCAAGCAGTAGGATTTGACGTCTTGTTGAATTTTGTATCTAAGTAGGTCCCCAAAAACTGCCGTCTAATTAACGTCAATAAACCGCTTAATTGTTCATAAAATATCGTCTTCATGATGAACCGTACGACTTTTGAATTCACTCTAGTGTTCATTATTATTATTAACTAGGTTCATTCAATAATTGGAATGAAATGATTAACTCGTGGAATAGAGTAAAAGTCCTAAGTAAAAGTCAGTTTCCATGTGATTCTAAAGTTACCATTTTATTAGAAACAACGCCAAACACTTATCAACACGGAAAATGAAATCCGTTATATTTAATCAGATAATTTAACTTACAATCTTATCTCTCAAATACACAACACTGTTACTAACTCATATATACAAAATTGTTCCGTTCCAGTTAATCAAACAACTTTCAATCTTATCTCTCATTTATACCACACTGTTACACAGCTCATATATACTACACTGTTCCGTTACAGTTATTCTGACAACTCCCAGTCTTATCTTTCAAATACACCAAATTCGCAATAAACAAAGTTGGCAAAATTCGGTCGGATTATGTCGCATTGTCTCAATCATTCCCCGCGCCACCGATCACTGCTATCGCCTCGCCGGCACACTAAATTCCTATCGGAAACTCCTAATACATGACAGAGAACTAGTTAGTATTGGCAAGCCATTGGCGCGTTCTAGACAAGTGGGAAGTTGTCCAATACTTGCAGGCGGCAGGCGTCGGTCGTCAGCAAACCACGCAAAGACTGCATTGTGCTGGTATCAACTTAGTTGACATGGGAACGATCTGCTCATTAATTGGTTCGAAAGTTATACGTATGATATTTTGTTTAATATAAACGTAATAACTTATTAAAAAGGACAATTTTTAGTTAGTATAGATTTTTATAATTCCTTTT